TTTCTTGTGAGCATGAGATGCTATGAGTGAGTCGTATGTAGGATTGATTGCATATAGGGATATTATTGAATTGATATGATGTAATTATTGGGATATGATGATGTATGTGATGATGAATGTGATGAGGATGAATAGTTGGGATGTGATAAAGTATATTATGATAAATACTATGATGAGATGAGATGAATAAGTCTAGTGTTGCGGATTGACACTAGAAGATGAATTATACATATAGTATTTATTGTGATGTGTGTATTGAGTCTATCCATACATGTTTTATTTGCGGGATAGTGTGTTTATGCATGTGGGATATTATAGGTCATCTACCTATGTTTGGGAGTTTTATAATGAGAAAACCTTTATCGGAATGAGAGACTACCATGTAGCCAGTTGTAACACTTTGATAGGACCTTGATAGTCATCCCTAGTTGAGGTTGTTTAGGGGATCAAGAGTGGTCCCTATACTATTCGATGGATGGTCCCGTTCCATGATTCCTAGGCTATTCTGTATTGATGATGATGAGGAAAAGATTGATACCAGATGCATAGACTTAGGAGCATAAATTGTACGAGTTTTTGTGATTAATATATATTGTGTGACTTGTTGGTCATGAATGAGGAATGAATGTGTGAAGATGATTATTGTGGATGATTGGAAGGATGCTTATATGTGTGAGTGATGTTAATGATATTATAGATGTGTGTGTGTCTACCTTTGCACCTTATATATGTTGTGTATGGATGAGATGTATTATCACTCTTTATATTTGTATGTTTGTGTTTGAGATGAATGTCACTTGTAGGACTAGATAGATACAAGATGTATTTGATGGAGAAGAAACTTAGAGCTTTATTGTCAAAGGGTTTGCTTTGATTTGTGTAACATTAGGTGAAATTTTAGTTTTAGTAATTAATTGAAGTTGTTTTTGTTGAGAGAAATGGTAAATGGAGAGAACATATTCCTTGTGTATTGTAAAGCAAAAGATGCGTTTATATACAAAGTAGTGGGCCTAGGCCCATAAGATAAAACTATATCTAACACTCCTCCTCAAGCTGGTGTATATAGATCATATGCACAAGCTTGTTACAAATATAAGAAATCCTAGGACCCTGTAATGATTTGGTGAAGACATTTGTCAACTGATTAGTAGAGTTAACAAACTGAGTAGTAATGTCCCCAGATAAAATATTCTCACGAATGAAGTGACAATGTATTTCAATGTGTTTGGTCCTCTCGTGAAATACTGGATTTGAGGAAATATGGAGGGCAGCTTGGTTATCACATATGAGAGTCATCTGTGTAACTTCGCAAAATCTCAGTTCTTTAAGCAACTGTTTGAGCCAAATGAGCTTACACGTAGCAGAGGCCATAGCACAATATTCTTCTTCTGCACTAGATCTTGCTACTACATTCTGCTTCTTACTTTTCCAGGAAATCAAGTTATCATCGATAAAGACACAATAACCTAAGGTGGATCTCCTGTTAGAGGGAGAGCCTGCCCAATCTGCATTTGAGTACCCCACAACTTGGGTATGAATATTGTAGCCATATAATAAACCTTTTCCTGGAGCACCTTTGATATACTTCAGAATGAGGATGACTACATTCCAATGTCCTGTGCATGGAGAATTGAGAAATTGACTCACCACACTAACTACAAAAGAGATGTCAGGACGAGTTACCATGAGATAATTCAATTTCCCAACCAATCTTCTGTACCTCTCAGGAACTAGGAAAGGCTCCCCCTGACTTGGTAGAAGTTTAACATTGGGATCCATAGGTGTATCAACGGGCTTGGAACTCATTAGCCCAGTTTCCTCTAAAATATCCAATGCATACTTTCTTTGAGATATTACAATTCCATTTGTAGATTGCGCTACCTCAATCCCCAAGAAATATCTAAGTTTACCAAGGTCTTTTGTTTGAAAGTGATGGCAAAGATGTTGTTTTATCTGAGAAATTCCATGATGATCACTTCCAGTAAGAACAATATCATCAACATACACTATCAAGTAGATGCACCCATGCAGTGGAATATCGATAAAAGACTGAATGATCAGCTTCGCTTCGAGTCATACCAAACTGTTGGACTACGGTACTAAATCTACCAAACCATGCCCTTGGAGACTACTTAAGACCATAAAGTGATTTGCGGATACGACATACCAAACTAGAAGACTCCCCTTGAGCAACAAACCTAGGAGGTTACTCCATGTAAATTTCCTCAAACAAATCCCCATGAAGAAAGGCATTTTTAACATCCAGTTGATAAAGATGCCAACGACGAAGAGCAACCATGGCTAAGAATAATCTGACAGAAGTCATCTTGGCAACGGGGGAGAAAGTGTCTCCATAGTCTAATCCAAAAATTTGAGTATAACCTTTGGCGACCAAACGAGCTTTGAGTCGATCAATGGTGCCATCAGGACCAACCTTGACTGTAAAGATCCATCGACATCCAACTATAAACTTCCCAAGAGGCAAAGAAGCAAGATCCCAAGTACCATTGTTCTGAAGAGCACATAGTTCATCAAGCATGGCTTGTCTCCAACCAGGGTGGGCCAAGGCATCACCTACAGTTTAAGGAATAGACATAGAGGAAAGAGAAGAGAGACAAGTATATTGGCACTAGTACACAATAAGCATTTTATGTCGATTATTTAGGGGTTTTTACGTTAGAAAAATTTCTGACGTAGAAGCGGGAGACGTAAATTTACGTCGGGGCGCGAAAACCGACGTGAATTTACGTCGGACATGCCAAGGTCCGACGTAAAAAGTCATAACAAATTTAAAAAAAAAAAAAGAAAACAAGTGCAGCAGAACGGCCCGTTCTGCTTGATAATCCCAGGAGTGCGTTCTGCGAAATTGGACTTCATCACTTCCTTCTCCTTCTACAGCTTCAAAAACTCGAACCTCCCAGAAAAAAACATCACAATAACTTATACCCACAAAATATGCGTATTATAACGAAAAAAACATCACAAAAAACACAAACTTGATGGAAGATGCTACCTCATAGAACCTCCCAGAAAAGCCCATGACCACGCGAAGAAGAAACAGAAGAAGGTGCAGATGAACGCCATGAAGGAGGAGGCGCGGGAGAAGGAAGAAAAATAGAAGAAGGAGGAGGAGGCGCGGGAGAAGGAACAACCATGAACATTTTGAAATTTAACTAGTGCGCCTCACCTTATAACAGGTTATGGGGGTTATTTACGTCGGCCCTAATTGGGTCTGACGTAAATTTTAACATCTACGTCGGACACAATGCTTAACTGATGTAGATGTTAAAATTTACGTCGGACCCAATTAGGACCGACGTAAATAATTCAACAAAATTACACTGCATGCCACCGCACTTTTATAACGTCGGGTTTTCGTGTTTCCGACGTAAATTAGGTGACATAAAAGCCTATTTTTGCACTAGTGTGGGATGGGGATAATCGGTGATAACTTAGAGTAATATAATGAGGAGAAGGATTACGAGTAGAACGATTACCTTTTCGGAGAGCAATACTGAAGTTAGACTCAAGTGGTTGGGCCGGAGGGGACGAAGGTGGTGGCACCGAAGTAGAGTCAATTGGGGGTCCAATGGGAAGGCTGGAGCATTGCCGACAATGATAAACTTGTAGTGGAGGCGGAGGTGGTGGGGCGGGGGACACAGTAGACAAAGGAGGAGGATCAAAGACAAGAGGGATGGTTGAAGGGGCAAGGACAGATATAGGAAAAGGGGAAGTAGATGGAAAGTAGAGAGAATACTCAAGAAAGGTGACATTAGCTGAAATCAAGTAGCGATGAAGGGAGGGTGAGAAACATTTATGCCCTTTTTGAGACCTAGGATACCCTAAAAGACACATTTGTTAGACCGAGCGGAGAGTTTGTCAAGACCAGGACTGTGATTATGGACAAAACATGTAGATCCAAAGACGCGAGGAGGTAGAGGGTAGAGAGGTTGAGTAGGAAATAAAATAGAGTGAGGTATTTGATTGTTGAGGATAGAAGATGGCATGCGATTGATGAGATAGCGGGTGGTGAGAATAACATCACCCCAAAAAGGTTGAGGAATGTGACCATGAAGTAAGAGGGTGTGAGTGGTCTCAATTAGGTGTCTATTTTTGCACTCAGTCACCCCATTTGTTGAGGGGTGTATGCACAAGAAATCTAATGAAGAATGTTATGGGAAGCCATGAAGGTTTTAAAGGAGTGAGAGAGGTATTCACGAGCATTATCACTACGAAAAGTGTGAATAGAAATACCAAATTGAGTCTGAATTTCATTATAAAAAGATTAAAATATGGAAAATAATTTAGAACGAGATTTCATTAAGCAGAAAATTAATAGATTGAAAAAAATGGAACTTAAGTGTACTCACACGGTTGGAAGCCAATTTATACAAACTACTAGGAAAACAAACCTATCAACTAATAACGTAAACAATTAACCATGACAGTAAAAGAATTTTTTTTTAAATTAATCCTTAAACAATAAAAATCCAATCAAGCATTATAGAGAACGAAGGACAGACAACAAGACAATACAAAGGTCAAAACTATGACTTCTGAAAGAACAATATGATGTTATTGTTCGACGCTTCTCACATAGTCAAACGTTAACGACAACTGTGTATACCATGTGATGAAAAAGGTAATAAAATTCCAAGAGTTCCTTGGAGTGAAGCATGCAGAAAAATGAGATATCTCTTATAACAGCTAATTAATCATAAGAAAAAGTTGGTTAACCCGCAAGTTTTGGTTACATTTAGTTTTGTTTTTTCTAGATGAAAATGATAAAAATAAATATCCTGATAATAAAAACAAAACAATGCTAATCAAAAGAAACGACTTGGAAAATTCTTTTAGATAAATTCTCTTTCATTTATTTAGAATCACAGGAAGAGAAGACTTTGTAAAGATAATCATGTTGACCGTCGGAAAATGGCATTATTATATATAACATCTATAATTGGTATATTTTTTGAATCATCAATCATTGAGGTAGTAACTTAAGCAAAGTCCAGCGTACACATGTCGCGGAAACAACTAAACGTGAGATCAATATGCTTTGGTTTCTTGTTTTTAATGAGTTTCAGTTTGATACCACTCAGTACAAAGGCTCAAATGCCCATTTACCTTGAAAGTTATTGTCAAAACACGACCAACCAAGTTCTGAGCAGTGCATACCAAACAAACCTTAACAACGTCCTCTCATGGCTAACCTTAGATGCAGCCACAAGCAAAGGTTACAACTACATAGAAAGCAACACCACGGTGCCTGTGTATGGCACCTATAATTGCCGTGGTGACGTGGTTGGCGTCTTTTGTGAGTTTTGTGTTTCTAATGCTGTCAGAGAAGTCCCCCATCGCTGCCCCAATGCGTTCGCTGCTATTGTTTGGTATGATTTCTGCATTCTAAGGTACTCTAATGAGAGCTTCTATGGGAAAGTTCTGACACACCCAATGTGGAATGGTACTGGAGATAAAAACATATCCAACGTGGCAGAGATTCAGAAAGGTGGGGATTTTGTGAGAAGTGTGATCAGAAAAGCATATAAGGAGACCAACTTTTACTATATTGATGATTTCAATTTGAGCTCCACTCAGAGAAGATATAGCCTGGCACAGTGCAGTAGAGATCTCACGAATGAAGGGTGCAGACAGTGTTTGGAGGCCATATTCGCCATAGTTCCCCAATGTTGTGAACTGAAATTAGAATGGTTTGTTATGACTGGGACTTGTGTGTTAAGGTATGATGATCGTATGTTCTACCTCAACAACCAAACAGCTTCAGTTTCTTTGCCTAATAGGCAAACAGGTGAATTTTAAACCTTTACTAGTACTTGTCGACTTCTTTTAGTGTAAAGAGGCACCGTACAAAGGAGATATTCTATCGTATATGACTCGATATATTTTATAAGGGTTATTTCTAACTTTATTATTTATATAAGGTTATTTCACACGTAATTTTATAACGATGGAATATTGTCTGTTTTGGACTGATTATCACTAAAAGGGCTTCTTAATGATTAGAGTATGTGTATATTATAAACTATTATTTTTTTCTTTTATTTTATTAACATGAGACTTTGTTTGTATCCCAATAATCTTTTTCTTAAACAAGAGACCTAGTCTATTATGCAGTGGTATTTGTCTTTATATATCACATTATTTTATCACTTATCACTTTATAAGAGTTATAACTTACCGAATGTTATCAGAGTTGTTTTATGGTATATTGCCTGAGGAAATATTTTATGAGAGTTATTATTTTATTATGTGTATAAGATTATTTCACATACAACTTCACAATGGTGAAATATTATTTGTTTTGTCCTAAACTTTCATGGTTTTACTTTTAATCATCTCTTAAAAAACCTCTCATTGAATTATGTGTATACTTTATAAATTGTTATTTTTTTTCTTCTTATTTTATCGATGTAGGACCTTGTTTATATCCCGACATGTATCTCTATATATCTATTTAAAAAAAATTGAGAAAGAAGAGGAAAAACAAAAAAAAAAACACATACTTAATAAGTGGTAATGATTGATTAAGTAAATTGTGCAGTTATTGTGTGTGAGAGAGAGAATTCGTATTAAGAGTAAGAAAAATGGAAACGAGAGATAGTTATGAAAATCTCTGTAGGTATAGATAATAATCACTTTCTTTTGAAATTGGAGTTCTTTTGGAATAGATATGTTTATTTATAAATTTAAAAGGTTAATTTTTCTTCTTTTATATTGTCACAGCTAAACATGGGGTAAATAAGAGGTCAAAAATCTTGATCATTAGCTTAAGTGTGATGGCAGCAATAACTCTACTATGCTTCTATGTATATTGCTTCTGGTACAGGCGTAGAGTTACAAAAGGTAATTTCCTGCAACAATACAAGATAGAATGTGTTTCATACCTTATTTTATTTCACATGCTCAAATATGAACTCTCAAACACGTGCATGTAGATGGGTTGATACCTCAAACCATTCGTCTAAAATCACATCAAAATGTTCAAACGGAGGATACACTGAATGCAGACTTGTCTAGAATCCCATTAATCACAATTCTACAGAGTACTGACAACTTTTCAGAAGCATCTAAGCTAGGGGAAGGTGGATTTGGCCCCGTTTACAAGGTTTTAATGATTAGGAACGTTGGATATTGATTCCTTATTTTACTATCTTTCTATTTTATTTTATTTGTTGCAAACAAACCTTTATCAGGGAATTCTACCAGATGGAACACAAATTGCAGTGAAAAGGCTCTCAGAATTTTCTGGTCAAGGCTCAGAGGAGTTCAATAATGAAGTAATGTTTATAGCTAAATTGCAACATCGAAACCTTGTAAGACTCTTGGCATGCTGCTTGGAGGAAAATGAAAAGATACTTATATATGAGTATTTGCCGAACGCAAGTCTTGATTTCCATCTCTTTGGTATGTTCTCAGATTCTTCAATTATTCATTGAATAGAAGTGTTCATGGTACTTTTTACTGCACTTTTTTCTTCAAAATTTTGAGTTCAAAATCAGTCTCGGTTGACTATCTTGAAAGTAGTTGTATTGACATGTATATGTTATAGTCTTGTTTTTAAGAATAAGAACAGCAGGTCATGATCTTAATACCGCCAAAATGTTCTGGCAGATTTTCTGTATCTTTCATAATGCGAAATCAAATTCAAATATTTCCTAAATAATGCTTTTGGTATGTTTTTCCCATGCTAATGTCAATACTTAACATTTAGTATTTGCTAGTTTTTCTTCACATGATGCTTTGTTGTTCAATTCTGTTCTCTGTTCTTGTGCTGTCAGACGATGAAAAAAGAAAGGAACTCAATTGGAAACTAAGATTAAGCATTATCAATGGAATAGCAAGAGGTATTTTATACCTTCACCAAGACTCTCGACTCAAAGTAATTCATAGAGATCTCAAAGCTAGCAATGTCCTACTAGACCAAGAGATGAATCCCAAAATATCAGATTTTGGATTGGCAAAAGCATTTGAAATTGGACAGAACCAGGGCAATACAAAACGAGTAATGGGCACTTAGTGAGTTTTCAACTTTTCTTAAACAAGAAGATTTATGAATGCATTTTAAGCTCTTAAAAAATAATTAGTGGAAAATGAAATTTCTTATACATTCATTGATGCAAGAGAAATAACAAAGCTCTATTGATTTTTGTTAGTGGATACATGGCTCCGGAGTATGTTATGGAAGGATTATTTTCAGTGAAATCCGATGTTTTCAGTTTTGGAGTCCTTGTTTTAGAAATCATTTGTGGGAGAAAGAATTCTGGATTCCATCTGTCAGGAGTAGGACATGGTCAAACTCTTACTTTATATGTGAGTCTTTAATCATACATATCTGGTCAACAAACTAATCGACAATGCTAACTGAAGATTAACAATACTCACAAATTACAAATACTTGTAGGCTTGGAGAATATGGTGTGCAGGAAAATGTTTGGAATTGATGGATCCAACACTGGAAAAAACATTCACAGGAAGTGAAGTTGAGAGGTGCATACACATTGGTTTATTGTGTGTTCAAGAAGATGCAACAGATAGACCAACCATGTCCGATGTTGTGGTAATGCTGGCAAGTGAGACAATGGCCATTCCAAAACCCAAGCATCCAGCATTTTCAGTTGGAAAAATGACCTCAGAGGAAGAAACTACATCAAAAAGCTCCAAGAACCTTTCCCTTAATGATGTAACTCTCTCTATTACTTTACCTAGGTAATGGACGTTTGCACGGATTTATAACTTTCTATCTACCAACATATAAGTAGATGTCAGTAGATCTTGTAAAAAAAAATAGATATTAGTAGATATGTATATGAATATTTGTAAAACGGAAAATAATTATGAACATTGATATCTATTCAAATAATTTTATATCTGTGCGTATTTTATTTTTTAATTAGAATTAAAAATGTTAATGATGAATTAAATATGATGTTTATTAATAATATCATTGATCTTATTTTATTTTGATTATTAACTAAAAGACAGAAATTTTTCTCTGTGATTTGAAGGTGGTTAATTCTGTTATGCAACATTTTGGTAATGACATGTGCTACGCACGAGTGATAACTTATAATATATAATTTTTTATATTATCATAATTATATATATATATATATATATATATATGTATATTATTTTATACTTGTTGCCTCAATGAAAGGAGCTTTAGGAGTAAACCCCTCTCTAGATATGTTGTGCATTGAAAAAATGGATATGGAGTCTTTTCCAAAAGAAGGTTTCTTGCCACTCTCTCTTACTTACCTAGAAATCAACCATTGTCGAAATCTTAAGAAACTAGACTACAAGGGTCTTTGCCACCTCTCCTCTCTTATGGAATTGAATATTGGTGACTGCCCTAGCCTCCAATGCTTACCAAAGGAGGGTTTGCCTAAATCCATTTCATGTTTTTCTATTTGGGGTTGTCCTTTGCTCACAAAGCGTTGCCAAAAACCAGAAGGCGAAGATTGGGAGAAGATTGCTCACATTGAAGATGTGTGCATTACCTAATAAGATGAACAAGTTTCAAATTACACATGCATCAATTCTTACATGTGTGTCTACCTTTTCATCAGGTGCCAGTCCTCCACAACATCTATACAGCTTTGAGAATTTGGATCCTTTCATGCAATATTCTCTCTCCAGCAATAATAATAATAACCACTCATCCCAATACTACAGTAATTGTGTTTATAGAAAATGTTTCAAAATAATTTTACTCTTTAGTTCGCAAACAATTGTAGCAAACACAGATGAGATGGCTTTGAGAAATAATCTATGAAGTCTCATAGATTTATTTTATATCTCAAGCAATATTATTAACAGATTAGCACAATAAGATTTACTTTTTTACTTGTGTTTGGCTGTTTGTATATAACCATTTTCTTTCACAAACTATCACTTTTTTTTGTCTATTCCTTTTTACATGCAACAAATTTTAACATTATTGTATTCTACCTTGTAGTTGAATTTCGTCAAAATACATTGTTTTAGTTAGTGTTTATGTTTGTTGATGACCAGGACACAAAATGATGAATGTTATGAAACTCAAATGTTCTGTCCAAGAAAATACAAAGGCCTAAATTTGGTTGAGGGATGTTCGATGTCCTACCAAAGCCTTTGGAAGTCCTTGAATCGAGGTGGTTAATAAGTTGCAGATTTACTACTCACTAGCCTTGGAAATGGTTAGTTTATTAAATTGTTTTAAACATTAGTTTATGTGTGCAAAACATATGAACGGATATCTCTCATTTTCTGTATTATAAAGAATGTAGGTTTAAAGTTCTAACAAGATTATGAACATTTCTTTTATATGGAATTCACTATAAATTATGAATTCTAGATGTTAAATCTTGTAAAAGTACATCTTTAAAGCTTCAAAATTGTTTTCTTCGTAAGTTAATAATCATGAAACTTATAATGGTCTCTCTTCAGCTGCTATGTGATTCCAGGTAATTATATACTAAAAATATTTCTATATACAAATTTTCTCTATGCTCCAGAAGACTAAGTTATTTATCGGTTGAGATATTTCCCGGCTGTTATGTTCCCAGTTGTTAACAAGAAATTGTTGTTATTTATAATTAGTTAGAATTTGAGGTAAAAGATAATAAGTTATTAAGTGAAATAACTCATATAAAGGTTTATTTTTAAAATAAGTCTAGTTAGGCTTAATCTATTCAATAACTTATGTTTTATATAAAAATTCACTTAATACAAATTTTTTAAAATTTTTCATATTTGATTTATGCATTAAAAATTTGTTATTTAACGATTGTATTAAGTGAATGAATGACAATGAATTAAAAATATTTTAACATGTTTTAATTAAAAACATATTTTAAAATCTTATAATAAATACTCTAAATTTTTATATATATTTTTTTTGCGCGTTTGGGTCCAGACTGGGCAAATTTTGTAAGTGGAACGGCCCGTTCCGACCGTTCTGCGTAAAGCCATAGAGTTATTTTTTTGAAATGAAAACGGGCTAAGAACGGACCGTTCCCGAATAGAACTTTTAACGTTTTTTTGAATCTGGAACGGCCCGTTCTGGGTAAACAGTAAAAAGTGGCGCCACCAATTAAAAAAATAAAATACATAGGGAAAAAAAATTAAAAAAATATAAAGAAAATACAGAAAAGATAAATATTATATATAATAAGGCCGTTCTAGATTCAAAAAAACGTTAAAAGTTCTATTTGGGAACAACCCGTTCTTAGCCCGTTTTCATTTCAAAAAATAACTCTATGTCTTTACGCAGAACGGCCGGTTCTGCTTTCGGAACGGGCCGTTCCACTTACAAAATTTGCCGACTTTGGACCCAAACGCGCAAAAAAATATATATAAAAACAACTCAGAATTCGGTTCCCTAGGAACCGAATTCTGAGAAGAAAAAAAAGAAAAAAAAATATTGTAGGGCAGAATTCGGTTCCCGGGGAATAAACTTGCACATGTGTCATTTTTGTATTTTTTCTTTCAAAAAATATTAATTATGTAAAATTTTCTAAAATTGTTCAATTAAAAATTGTAAGACTAAAATTACACTATAATTTTTTAAGGACTGAAATTACTCAATTAAAATCTTAGAGTTCAAAATTGCATAATTATTATATCAAAAACACAATTAAGTAAAGAATATTTTATTCACAGTTTTGGAACGGGCCGTTTTGCTTCACTGGTGGTGTTTTAATTTTGCAACCAGAACGGCCCGTTCCGGTTTCAGAACGGGTCGTTCAAGGTCCAGGTGTTTTCAAAAAAATTCTCATCCACGTGGATGCCACGTATGCATCTACGTGGCATCCACGTGGCCAAAAGTTAACTCCGTTTAAATAATTTGGACGGAAGTCTCACATTGAAACTAATTAATTAATTTGGGACTAAATTGAAACCTATTAATTAGTTTGGGACCAAATTGAGACCAAAAATTAATGAGTGACTATTTGAAACAAAAAAAGATTATAAGGGACCAAAATAGGTTTTTAGCCTATATATATTCTAACATTTACAAATATTTTTTAATATAATAATGAGTATTGATTGATATATTAAAATAATTTTATATATGTGAATATGTTATAGTTTTTTATTTTTATAAATCGTAATTTTTGAAAATATTATCTTTTTAAATATATTTATATTTGTATATAACTTATAACATTTACTTTTTTAACTAATAAGGAGTGTTTAATTTTCACATTTATATTTTAAAATAAAAATAAGGTGATAAATAATTTTTTAAAATGAAAAAGGGAATGTAATGTAATCTAGATATTTTCTTATAAATTAACTTATCTTTTAGGCTTTAAAAATTTAACTTGTACAACGTAATTATTTTTAAGAAAAATATTTATTATATATACTTGTAAAAATATATCTTAATATTTTGTTAGAAGCGGAAAATATTTTTTCTGCCTTTGTATAATTATTGTATGTATATATTATTGATTGAACTCTTGTGACATCTACATTAAATTAAAACAAATATTGTGAGATTTCTTAATTTGAATCAAAGAAGTTATATATATATATATATATAGATAGATAGATAGATAGCCCTTACCCGTACCCGTTTTTATTTTTAATTTAATACCCACTTTCAATTTAATTTTATTAAAGAATTTTAATATTTTTTTATGTGTGATTATTTATTGTAATATGAGATAAAAAAATAACTTAATTATAATTATAATATAATTACAAAAAATAATTTAAAAATATTATTTTTTTAAAAAAAATAAAAAATAAAAAAATTGACGGGTACGGGTACGGGTATACCCGATACCCGACGGGGACGGGG